ATGAGAAAAAAGGAAATAGTTTCCACTGACCTCAGTTAATATGTGTGTGTTAACCTACCCATGTGATGGAGGAATTATGGAAAAACAAAGAAAGAAACCAACAAGAAAAAGAATAATCCTTCCTCTGAAGAGGTGGTGGTGCTGACCTGAATTGTGGCCACTTTCTCTAGAGTGCAAGAGTACGAAAATCCTTAGTTTTCCCTTCCTAGTTTCCTCTTCTCTCTGTTAAGTGGAACATCATAGCAGGTACATGTGGAATGCGGAGCCTTTTCTTGAAAAACAAACTCGAAATGGAATGAATCCTCTGGCCTTCTTTTAGCTTTGCTGTAATGTGCAAACAAAGATGAAATATGAACGTGGGAGGACTGATTTTCATTTTTAAAGATTTCCTATCCCTTAATTCAACATGGATGGAAATGAAAGCAACTTCCAACATGCAATACAAAAGGAAGCATTTTCCAGTCTCTGCCCTTAGCAACTCTCCCCTCTCTTCAAATCTGAGAGCAATTGTTCACATTAGCTCAGTCACATCCGCTGAAGGAATAGCAAGAAGTGAATTGAAATGAAATTAATTTGAAAATCAAGCACTTTAAAGTATGCTGTGGCGTTGAGTAGCTTTTTTCAGTACGTTGATGGCTACAGACCCTCCATAGGGTTGTTCAAAGCTTTGGACTTCATCTAGCTTTCAAAAGGTGCATTGCTGCCTTAGAAGATTTTATTCTAGAAGCAAGGAGAGTTTGTTTTAAGTTATCCATTGAGGGAGAGTTGACTCTGGTGCATAGCAGATGTTAGAAAAGGTTCAAAATGCAGGAATTTGGTAGTGCACACCTCATTCAAGGTGTCCAGCCGTCACTCTGCAATTTGCAAAATGGTCTAAACGTTTTGCTTTATAGCAAATGGTTTTGGTCAACTTGTGTCCGCAGTTGCTTCAGAAGCCAGGAATATGCTGTTATTTCCCTTTCAGCTATCTAAGAGTTGAGACAAAGTGTCCTCTCCTGATCCCAGATGTTCATGCTGCTCCTGATCCCAGATGTTCATGCTGCTTCTGCACAACCTCCTTTTTTCCTGGTGTTGTCACCATGCTACGAAAAGCCTTCGGTGTAACTGCAGAGTAAGGCAGTGGGGCTCAGACAGTAACATGTTCAGTGCGCCAGTCACTGCATTCAAGATCCTTTTGTTATCTGGGAACACAACACGGTCATTTGAATGAGTGGGCTTGGGTGGTCACTGTAGGAATTCCCATAATCTGTCACACACCTTGACCTGAGACCTTTTGCAGGCTGTATCTAGGATTGCCCAGTCCACATGTCACATTTGGCCACCATTGAAAAGCCCCTGACTTTTGCAGCCTCAGAGAGCTGGCCAGTCAGGGCTTTACAAGCTGGTAGAGATTTACAAACTAGCCCATTATGCCCCTTTCCATGCCTAGATTTGTTTTGGACCAGAAATTACTGAAGTGGGCCACGTGTTCCTCTGTAATTATGTTGGATGGTATTTACAAAGCAACCAGTAAGATCAATGCACTGAAAAAGCCTGTTGTATAACTCCTGCAACAAGATTATCTTATCACACTAACAAACCAGGAAATAATGAGGAAGGACTAAGATTTAATCGCAGTTGACTGAACTAAAAATCCATTTGTCATCTGGCACTCTCATTACTTTCTTTTTTCAAAGACCTTTAGCCTCCATAGAATAAGGGCACTTTCCATGTCTCCTTAAACTGATCTCAGGGAAAGCCAAACAAAATTAGAAATGTTGGCAATGCTGGTGAAAATCTACTAGATTGCTAGTAGACCCTCACAGTCTAATGAATCTTTCTTTATGGAATACTGTTCTCTGCCAGTTATCCATTACTAAATACTAAATGCCATTGCATGGCAATTATTACATTCAGTCAGTACTGGATACTGCTTCATGCTAACAGTCAAACAAACAAAACAACCCCCCTCCCTGCCAAATGCGAAATACTTTTGCATGTCAACTATCAATGGCAAAATGCTAAATGCTATTATATGTCAGCCCTCAATACTGCCAGAAACTGATGGTGAAATATCAAATATTGAAATCTGATGGCATTCCAGGTGCTATTGGAGAGTTGGACAATATTTGTCGTAATGTTCTTGTTTGCAGATGGAGAGTTTTGGAGAGGAACACAATCTGGCCTTTTCTTTCCTGTTTTGAACAGAAAAACTTGGATAGCAGCTCATCCTATCATTGCCTTATTCTCTCAAAACTGCCCTCATCTGGGGCAGGAATTAGAAAGGAAAAGGTGCATTGAGGTCAGCAGCTGGCGACATTAAAGGCGCAAAACTCTTTCCAAGAATAATGTGAATGAGGTCCACTGCAAAGATATAATCAGTCCTCCAGGGATGCAAATTTGCTATGGGCTGTAAAACGTAAACATGGAAGCAAAGGGAGATGGGCACACCCCAGCAAGGACAGGGCTCTGCATGCATGAGTGTGTTTTGCTAGTAACCAGCAGGGATTCCAATGAGTTGCTGAAGTTACCTCTCTGCGGGCGTATTGATTAAGCCAGCAGAGAATATCTGTAGCTGTTTGTTCCAGCCAAGCTCTCAGTCACAACCTGCACATGTCCTTTGTCCCCACAACGAGAAGGTGGCACATTTGTGTCTTTGTCTGAGAGACGAGAAGAATGGTGCAGCATGCTGACCCCGGCTTCTCTGGGAAGCCATCAGTGCTTTTACATTAAAAGAAAAATAAAAGACGGTCCCCTCAATAGGCAAAATGATGCACAGGATTCCCCGTTTGAGGCCGTGCTCACTACTGGAAGGAGGCCCACCTTTGGGAAGATGGGGAGATTGTTCAAGCATTTTGGGCACATTCACTCTGTCGGATTCCTGTGAGCCACACCACACCTGTGCACCCTTGGCAACCATTTCCCACGTGCCCATAGTACAAGAGAATGATTAGCTGTGTGGAACAGACTGTGACAACCGGCAGGAGGAACCAGTGGTGCTGTAAGACTGCAGTGTGGGCCCCGGTGGGCCTGAGGTCTCAACCCAGCTGCCCCATGGTGTGTTATATTGTTTATTTAAGGAATATTTCTTCAACATATTGACCACCCGGTAACAAGAGTTATCTGACTAATGTATGTGTTAAGGTAGGTCCTTGGGCAAGTTACATGTCTTTTATCCACACACTTTCTGAGAAATTAAGTTTTGTGACTAACTGTGCCTTCTACAGCATCTGTTTTATGGATGGGTGAACCTCACCCTGGCGATGTTGTGCAATGGTTGGAGATGTTCAATCTATTCTATGTGGTTTAATTTGTTTAATCAGATTAATTTTGTTTAATCCATTCTATATATAGTTAAACAATCGCAGATATCTTTCATTCCATCAACCACTCATGATGGGATCAGATATCCCCCCCATTTCATAAAAGTGTGCTAAAAAGTCCACCGCAACTTTCTCTGATGTGTTCTTAGTGCAGCGTATGATCAATGGGGGTTCACACACAAAAACAGAGCAGAAGCTGAAGATAGATCACAGCTGCATAATACCGACAGCATGTATTTTAGCCTATTTTACAGTAACTTTCATATTATTCTTCAACTATTTTTGTAGAATTTTAGAATTTTTTAGAAAAATGGTCCACAAGGCCATGGAATCCATGCCGCTTGGATGCTGCTCTGCTCTGGAATCTGCAGAGTGAACTCGACAGTCATCTGTCTCTATTATGGGATTCTCTGACAGTAATGGTGTCAATGACATTTTCTTGAAACTCCCACAGTGTTCATTGGCCCCAGTAGTTTGGAGATGCCAGGGTGCATGAAGGAAAAGTTCTCCCAAAGCCATGGTTGATGTTCCCACTCCAGAGGAAGGGTTTAAAAAGTTATTTGCCTGTATCTCAGCCTGCAGGACAGTCAGTTGGTGGCTGGAGCTAACCATGCTGGTCCTTCAGCTCATGTCAAGATCAAAGCCTGCTTCCAGGTAAAGCTGAATTGCTAGTCAAGGCTGTAGAAACATCATGGAAGCCTTCTTCAGTTGAACCCTCCAGATGATCTGGGCTGTAGCACCAAGCATTCTTGACCATTGGCAATTGAAGTTCAAACCCTCTGGAGTGCATCTGTTGTAGGGACTGGACCCATTTCTCTCAAAAAAAAAAAAAACAAAAAAAAAAAAACAACAACATCCCAAACTAGAAAGCTCAGATTCTGAAGGTGACATGGAAGAAGAGGAGGGGTTAGAGTGCATCACTGGAATGTCAAGGTTAATAATGAGGTTAACCAAGCAGTTGATGTTCACCCCTGGTTTGCAGTGGACACACTGTAGAACTAAGACATCATCAATGCAGGGATTGCTCATCAAGCCAAGCAAACAGACCTGTTAAAAGGCTGTTCCTGCAGTTTGGCCCACAAGCAGAATAAACCTCCTTGAGGGTGGATCCAGTACCTTTTGGAAGAGAAGGGAGGAGGATTCAGTTTGGAATCAGCTCCTGACATGGGCCAGAACTAACTCCACCAATCGGAGGGATCACTACTTTGATACATGCTACTTGTTAACAACTTTATTATTAATCATTCTGCATTGCAAAGCCAACCTAGCTTTGTAAAGACTGTTGAAGAAGCATGATCTGCTGGAAAGGGAGAGAAGAGAGACAAACTCACAATACCACTTTGGAGAAAGTTAGTCGACTGAGATACAAATTCCCATATTTCTAAAGGTGACCTGCAGTGCCAAATTGGGAATGCAAAAGCGAGCTGAAAGATATAAAACTAGGCACCAAACACGGCCTGTCATAAGCACTTCAGGCAATCTGCAAGGCCCACATCTGTTGCACTGGTTCCTGAAAATTAGAAACTGTAGTTTGCTGACACTGCTATAAAAATGAAATTGCCTGGGGAGAAGGTACTCTGGTTTCCTCTGTGAGCCATATAAGTGATGCAGGCAGCTGTGATGAGTGTGTATGCACACATTTGTGTGCATTGTGAAAGAGACCTGTAATTCTTGGAGCAGGTTTGTTTCCAAGCTAAGCTGATTCCACAGGCACTTCTGCCGCCGTGTCTGTTTCCCTTCCTCCTCCTATTCCTCCCACACCTCCAGTTAAAACGACTTATGGATGAAAAAGCTTCTGCTGCAGGAGGTAAAGGAATTTGCACAGTAAGTGCAGAGGGGGGGATGTCACTCAGTGGATGGTTGTTAGTAGGAGGCTGTAGAAAGGAACCAAGCCTGATTCTCGAGCCTGCATGGACTGATCATGCTGAAGGCATTGTGGCAGAAACAGTCTAGGCAACCCCTGGCAGAGGTGAGCAAGCCTGCTTTGGATCCCCTCTCTTTCCTGACTGAAATAAGAAACACGTCCCGCCATTGTCCACAATGTAAATAGAAGCTGCCTAGATTCCAAAGAGAGGTCTGTGCATTGGGATTTTGAAAGGGGAGAGGTGAAGGGATTGACAGAGGTTATACCACCGAAGCTCACGAGCGAACGCGTTGTCGCTCTGCATTCTCCTACATTCAGTGTGCTCTGAAGAAGCAGCACGTTCGAGGTGAGTAGCAACACGATACAGAAGCTACCAGAGGGAAGGGTCTACAAATGTTTATTCTGTGTTGCTAGTGTCATGTTGTCTGTAGTGAGGGATCTTTGGCAAAAAGGCTGAAAGAAAGGGCTCTGTTTCTGGAAGCATGTTGCTTTCCAAATAGCTGAAATGCATTTTCCGCACCCTAAAGTCCATAAGGGATCCATGTGTCTCTTTTGAGCTGACCATCCGAATACCATCCTTTCATAATAAGGGTAGGTGCTGGCTTTGAACAGGCTTTTGAGTGTGTGGGTGTTTGTGTGGAGGAAAGTATGGCGGGGGGTATATTTTGAAAGGAAACTTATTCATGAGCAGAGGCTGGAGCCAGGGGTCAGACTAGATGGCCTGGGAGACCCCTTCCAGCTTGCTCTGTTTCTATGCTATTCCTGCAGTGATGTCTCTTGCTAGATCTTGGCAGGTTGTTCTATGGGATTCAAAAGTATTACGGATGAACGGAATAGGATCCCCTGGATAGGGCTCTGGGTTAGAGATGTGACAAGCCCTCCTGAGAATGTCAGCAATCATACTGAAACTCCTTCAGCTTCCTTAGCAGTTATTTGTGTATTGGCTGAAATAGACTTCCCAGATTTGCAGGTTTGTGACACGGGCAGCTCTGTTGCAATGTTGCTCTGAAAAACCCGGAGAAGGTTTGGATAGTATTATGTGATTTCCATTCTAGAAGCAACTGCCTTGGTATCTCCCTGCATTCTCCTTGGAAGGTGCTGCTCACTCCTAGGTTGTCCCAGCTCACCAGGGAGGAGCTGCGGGAGGGCCCTTTGCCTTGTCAGACTTGGACATTGTGTGTGATCCTTCCCTCCCCAGAGAGAAGGAGAATGTTTACGAGTGCCCGTGTGCCCAGTTTATAAGATTTGGCCTTGTGAGCAATCCACTCTCCACCACCCCACATGGCAAAGCCCACTCAGGACAAGCTTGGAGCCATGGCCTGAGGCTTGCCTGCTTATGCCTAGTCTTCACCCGTTAACTTATTTAGGCTGCCTTGTCCTGCCTCCACCTGTAGACTGGTGGGGGAGAGGTGAAATTCTTAGGGATGGCTCTTCAGGCTGGCAATCTATGAGAAGGAGGGTGCATGTTCGTTAGTAAAGTGGGTGGTTCCCTCTCTGTGGCTACCAATCAGAATGGCTGGCTTTGCGTGTCTCTAATCCCTTGGATTGTACTGCCAGGGTTTCTTAGGGTTTCAGCTTTGCCGTGTTGTTGTTTCTCTCACTGGTTGTGCTCATTACCTTGTGTTCTTGCTATTCAGCACTTGCACCAGAAGCATTTGGATAGAAGCTATACTTTTAGAACTCTAAACCCATGTATCTAGATAAACCACTATCCAATATGTCCATGGATTTATTCACTGTACGCCAAATGGGCATAAAGTCCCCTCCCCGTATTTTGCTCAAAGAGCCACACAAAGCCAATATGAGTCAAAGCAACTGCTGCAGGTTCTAATGCAACCTCTCCCAGAATGGGAGCTACTGGGAGTTGCTGTCCAGCACATCCATGGGGCACCAGGTGGGGTCAGGCTGTTCCAAGGCTCTGGTCTGAGGCCAACAGGAAAGCATCTGGAGGCGAGAAATGACTCCTTACAAGAACAGTAGATTGTAGAACTCCTTACAGTAGAACTCCTTACAATGTGGTGTTGCTGGAATCCTTGTGGTAGATGTATTTGCTCTGTTACTTCATCTGCTCTAGGATGCAGCTACATTTTCTTTCGAAAGGAGTTTTGCTTCTTGAGTTCCAAGGATTAAAAGGGGCACTGGATCTAATCAGCCAAGGCAGGATTCCTCTGCTTTATCACTGAGTATTATGAAGTATGCAGATAGCTGGCCTACTCAAAATTTATTATTTCATCAACAATGGCCATTTTAGAAGAGGCAAATCAGCAATGGCCAGTTTAGAAGAGGAAAAGAACAGTAATAATGAGTAGATTTCACACAGTGTTTTTCATGAAGGCTTTTCATGAGAACATGAGAACCTTGTTGGCTGGAACCAAAGTGCCACCTATTTCAGCATTACTTTTGCATCGGAGGCCAGTCAAATGCACTTGGTGCTCCTACAGGTGGGCCATGAAGGTACAGACCTGCCTTGTTCTTTGTGGTCAGCAGCTAGTGCTCAGAGGTACTGTACCTCTGGCCACGGAGGCTCCATGTAGCTGTGCTGGAAACAGCTGTTGAAAGTCTGATCCACTCACACAATGTCAGTAATCCTTAAAAACACCGTGTCTGAGAGATATTCAGAGAGTGTCTTACCTCAGGCCACCCAGGGAATCTGCTTTACGTTTACACAGCGGCATGGGAACTGCTTCCTGCACCTTTTCCCCATGCTGCCCTAGAAATGTTTTCCTGGTGGAAGGTCCTGAACAGGTCCAGTATTCCCATCACCTGTGAGAATACCATCTGGTTCGCTGAGGAATATGCTAGTAGCACAGATGTTGCTAGACACTCCACCAGACATTCCTGAAGCAGCACGGGAAGGAGTCAAAGGAGGCAGCTTCCGTGTCAACTGTTCTTTGATCTACCAGTACTAGCAGAGTGTCTGCATAATGAACCGTTGATCCAGGGAAACTGCATGGTGCATTACAGGGAATGTTATACCAAGAGAGCACTCCTGTGGGTGCTAGATGGCCATAAGATTACTTGCAGCCCCAGCTTGACAAGGCCTCTGATCAGAGCTCTGACCCCCACCACTCTCACCTTGCACTCATGTTCAAGAATGGCTTCTGGGGACATTCCAGGGGGCGAGCAGAGACTGGTGCCACCGAGGCATGAAGACTCATGTTGGCATCGCACCCTCCTTTCCTCCTCTCGGAGGCACCAGGCAGCTGAAAGCAGCCACCTCAGTGTTTCAAGAGGCAGGAGAAGGACAGAGGTGCTTAACCCCTGCAGTTCTTCTGCCTTTCATAGGAAACCCTCCAAGTGCAGAGCGTTACAGACATCCCCATCGGATTACACCCTAAACCATTTACCACAGCATTCATTTCAATTTGACATTTAGAGGAATCAGCCAGCCAGACTTTCATAGTTTACGAGTCAAACCAAGGGGTCTTATGAGTCTTAGTTGCCCCAACTTTGATCATCATGCTTTGGAAAGAATGTGTGAGATCAGAATAGTTCCTAAGATGGCCCAGGGGATTTCTGGCAATACTGTAGTTCATGAGATAAACAGAGAAAATACTTCCATTCACATAAAATTGTTGCTGTCTGGAAAATATTATAATGGCATTGGTCCATGGATGTGGGAAGGAAGGGCAGATGGTGGTCAACGCTCACGGTCTGTCTTTGCCTGCCTGCAGGCAATATGGCGCTTCCTAAATTTGCAAAATAAACACAACAAATATCACGCACATTCCCTTTCCGAGAATCACATATGGCAGCAACATGGCTTCCACACACAAAGCTTGATATTCCAAATGGAGGCATCTGAGCTGTCCAATAGGATCAGCAAAATTGATTGGTTATCTGACACATTTTATGTGGCTTGTTCTCAGTGATGCTCATTAGGAAACAAAAGGTTGATATGGAAAAGAGCAGCAGGAATGACTCTTGGTACATAAGGGAAGACTGATGAGTGAGTTTATCGTTCTTTTATGTGGTTGCCCTTTGTCTGCCGTCATAAATGCATTATGAATAGTTTCCTAACAGTCTCAAGTGACCCATGGAGACATCTTAACATTCTTGCAAGGAAATCTTTAATGGATCTCTAGAAAGGAAGATTAACTCTTTCAGTTAATATCAGACAGAATGCCTGCTTTAATGCTGTATTGTAGATTAGGATGCAGCCAAATAACCTTTGCAGAGAAATACCGTCAGGGTCTACCCCATTTTTGTCTAACTTTTGGGATCTTCCATAGCAGGGATACTCTTGACTGGTACTATGTAAATACAAATAGAGATATAGCTTAATGTTAATTTTGTTTATTTCCTTTATCTTCTATTTAATCAGTTTTAAGACTGGAGTTCTAATGTCTGATGTCTAATTTTAAGACTGATTCTAATCTCACTCTGCAAACTGCATTCAGAAACAGAAAAGAAAACAGAAAGCGAGTATCGTACAATGGTTGAGCAGCTGGAGTAGGTCTCCAGAAATCTGGGTTGTCCACAAAGCTCACCGGGTGACTTTAAGGAAGTCACTCACTCTCAGCCTAACCTACTTCACAGAGCTGGTGTGACGACAAAAGGAGAGGAGGAGTATTGTGTAAGCCACGAGGAGTTCCTCACAAGACGAAGAGGCCTGGTTGTAAATGTAGCATAATAAGAGTCCTCAGGAATGGGAATTTGTGAGCAGTTACGTAGAAGAGTCTTGTTGTCAAGCGTCCATCAAGAAGCACAATGGACTTTGACAAAACTTTGGGGTGCAATCCAATGCAAGTGGAGCCAGGAAAAAAGACCTGTAAAGTCATCATATACCGGAGCATTCAGGGAGCTGCTGGCCCACTTTTACCTGTATAATCTTGCACAGGGTTATGTCTTTAGTGAAGTGT